GATGAATATTTAGTTTTGGACTATGTTTTGGCACTTCATCTTTATCCAAACATTGTGCTGTATGCTTGCAATTGTCAAGAAGAATCCGTTTTTCATCACACATAACAATATGGTGTAGAAATGGTTCGCCTTTATGTCATGACAGCAAAAAAAGTCAAGCTTCAAGACGATTTCTCTTCTGATGCTGGTTCAATTCATGCAATGCCCGTCTATCCAGCTTCTTTACCTTGAGAATTTGTTTCAAATAGTCCAGTATTGTTGGAATAGTAACGTCAAACCTTGCTGCTAATTCACGCCTAGGTTGAGATGGATTCGCTTCCACTACAGCTTTCAGCTCATCGTTATCCATCTTGGTCTCGGGTCACCCACGTGGCTCATTTTCAACATTAAACTCACCAGAACAGAACTTCTCAAACCATTGACATACTGCGTGTTCATTAGCCACATCCTTCCCAAACACGTTGTTATTTCGAGCTGTCTGCATTGCATTAGTTTATTGGTTCCATGACAGAACTCATATTCAAAAATAACACGATTTTTTACTTATCCATGGTTTTGCAAAAATTGCTCTAAAAAATTTTTGAAAGATAATCACAATCCAAATCGTGTTTGAAAGAATGAGGATGTATCTTTACAATAAAAATAAAACAGGAAGTGTCAAAGTGAAATGTCAGAGATATCAACTTTCAAACTTAGTACTTAGGGAAGGAAATCGAACATTTGATATTTAATAATAACCTAATATCATGAAAATTTCTCTATCTCATTAATGTTTTGAAAAACACAAATCCTCTATGTATCATTGTCTGAATGAGCACTTCAACGCTTGTGGAATGTAAAGACTGTTATTTTTCCCCAGTATTCATTTTTTCTCCTTTCTTAGTAATAGATCTCTTCCACAATAGCCAAACATCAGCCATCCATCATAACACATATATCCCTTGCCTTTCTTGCAGTAGGTGTGCCCATGACTATGTTCTGGCTAATGTGATTTAAGTGGAAGCATCAGCTGGCTCTTTCAGAAAATATTCTCAAAAGGCAGGGGTGTACGCCTGTAGGAAGACAGTCATTGCATGGCAAAAGTGATGCCATCTTGAAGTGAAACCATCTTAATGACCAATGTTTGATCCTTTCATACAAAGTATTCTGCAGTAAGGTCTCTAAAAGATGCCTGGAGCATAGATAACCACCCAAAATCTCCTTATCTAACTTCTCCAATGGTCACGAGTCTTGGCAAGAAAGTCTGAGATGTGACCAGCTGCACATGCTTTACGCTAAAAGCTTGCTGTATAAAGGGTGCTTCCTGGAAGGCGGGTGTGGGGATTGATCATCTTACAGCAGCCTGAGACATGGCTTATACTCTTATGTCCTTATTAGATTTTTCTTTCTAAGACACTGGATTTGTCAGCCTCTTCTTCTAAAGAGTGAGAGTTGAGAAGATTGACCAACAGAGTAAAACCCAGGTGGAATTGCCAGAAAGAGTCCCTCATTGGTGCCTATAGATTGGAATGAGAAAGCAAAAGCATGGGTCATGTCTAGTCACCACAGGCCAAAGAGAGATAGAACAGTCTGTTTCCTGTTTTTGAAAAGTAGAAATAATAGTAGGAAGTGGTCCGATGTGTATCAGGCTCTCCCTAACATCCTGAAATTGATTGATCACTACCAGGCCTGAGAAGGAGATACTTTATTAAGCAACCCCAGAGCTGCTCCCTCCTGGGTGTGGAGGGATAAACAGTTCCTCTTTCCAAGCCAGCGGGAAGAGAGTGAGCTCGGAAGGGAATGCCCAGTGCTGCCTGTAGGACCCCTCTCTGTGACTCACAATTTCCAGGAAAGTTGCTAAAGCCTACCAAATGCTGAGCATATGTTGTGATGGTGGAAACCAGGCCGGGGACTGAACTCCAAGTCCACATGAAATGGGGTAAGGCAGACAGAGAACAGCCCCACATGAGGAAGTGAGCCCAGAAGACTCCCAGCAAGAGCAAGGGGGATTTTGAACTCTAGTCTGCTGTAGAAATGCAGCTTGAGCAAAGTTCCTCCAAATCTCCAAGGGGGAGGGTGGTGTGCGGCTGCCAAATGGGTAAAAAAGTATTTAGCAGGTACTTTGTGTACTCCAGGAACTTAGAATCCAATGGTGAATAAGGAAGTGTTCTCTGTCAGCTGCCACTGGGGGAAACAGACAATAAATAATTAAAATACAAGCTTAAAACTACTTTGTTCTGAATATACTCAGCATGAAATAGTGTAAGTGTCTTGGATGGGACAAGAAATATTTCCACAAAGAAATCAGATAGATGGTGAATGCTTTTAGATGAATTATTCAACTCTGCTGAATTGCCTGTTGTATCCATGGCAGCACTGGTTCTCCCACATTCTCTGAATCACAGAAAAGGAGCCTGGAATGCTGTTTTTCCTTATCCCTTTCCCAATATGGTCCAGGCGAGAGTTGACCAACAACAGGTAATCATGCGAGATTTGGATGGTGGATGCGAAAGAAAGAGGACCATTCTCTGGCATCAACAGCAGGGAGACAATGGGCGTCCCACAGGCGCATGTCACAACAAATGAGTGTCTGATACTACAAATCTCTGTCCATCATGGAGCTTCCCAGACTTCTACCTCCCCAGCCTTGCAAGGGTTGCACCAGCCTCTAATTCCCTGGATTGAAAGCACATCCCACTTTTAATACCTAGGTGGGCTTCAGTTTTCCTAAACAAATCCTCTATGTAGGTGGAGGAAAAAGAAATACTCTTCGGAAATAGGGCAAAATAATGACAGACTGCAGACATGGAAGGGAGTGTGGTCCAGTAATCCTGGGACATGACATATGAACGTGAGCCTGCTTACACCACAAGGGATTTGTGTCCCACATCTAGGTAAGAGTCCTATTTGACACGTGTAAAAGATTTAAACACATCTATACTACTAACTCATATTTTGTCCTGAATTTACAGTGTATCCCATAAATTTGGAAATACTTTAAGACAAACCATTCCTCAGGATCTGTAAGTACTAAAAGCTCTTCAACTTTCACATGGCGGTAGTGTCCTTGAAGCTGGGCCCATCATCCACCCCTGCCGAGCCCTGACGGTGAGACAGCACTGAGGGGACCCATGCAGGTGGGTCCTCTCCTGGTGCTCTTTTGTCCTGGCCTCTCAGTTGCTGGGGACAGCAGCTACCAGCTGAGTTGATAGTGAAACTCAAAGTATTTCTTTCAAAACAGTGCCTTAATGGAAGATCTTTCATATTTGGTAAACATTTAAATATTTAGTATTTTTCCTGATTTTCCAACAAAACTTCCATAACTGAACTAATAATTTCTCTTACCATCTCTCCAAATAAAAATGTGAACAAACATACATAGAGAGAAGTTTTTATAGCTTCACACCCTTATGTTAGGAAAGAAGAAAGTTCTAAAATTAAAGATCTGAGCTTTCCATCTGAAAAAGAACACAAGCAGAGCAGTGATGCTTCTGTCACCCTGAACCTTAGAACCTTGCTCATTTAATTGGGAAACACTGCAGGCATTGCCAAGAGTCAGGCAAGCATGCCCACCAGCTCTGTCACTACTCAACATGATAATAGAGGTATTAGCCAATGCAACCAAACAGAAATCAATTAGGTGCATAAGAATAAGCAAAGAAGAAGTGATAACAAACTCTGGAGCATCCATGTGATGAGACACTACTCTGCAATAAAAAGGAATAGGCTATTGACACACACCACTCAAATGATTTTCCAAAGCATTGTTCTGGGGTGAATAAAGCCAGTCTCAAAAGTGACTTTCTTGTACTCATAGATTCTCAATGTCTGGTCTACAATCAACTATGAAATACAAACAATTAATGAGTGTTAATGACTGCATGAATAGGTACAAACTCCCAAATCTCTTGAGAGAAGGGAACATGCCCCATTGTCCTTATTTGCCAAGAACTTCTGTCTTCCTTCTTCCCTGGGAGGTAAAGAGGTAGCACTTTTCTCAGGGGTTTTCACATGGGCTTCTCAACTCCTCGCTGCTTCTCAAGGGCAGAGCCTTTTTCTTTGCCTCATCTACAGGGTTAACCTGAATGCAAGGGTAAGAGTAACTGAATGTGTTACACGAAAAATAACCACTGCTGTGAAAGACTTTGTTTCATATTAAACCTGAATTTACTTTCTTTTCGGAGGTATATGTGGCTTTTTGTTCAAATATTTGCTTATGGAAGGTTGTAATACAACAGGATGTTAAATTTCATGTCTCAGAATTTTGGCTAAAACTGCAATGATGAAAACAATAGACACAACATACACCCATGTTCTGCAGAGTGACACAGAAGATGTCTTACTCCAGGTGACCATATCTAAAGGAATCATGTGCTTCTTTGTGTGTTGCTTCTCTTATGCTTGAGCCTTTGCTAACTTTTGTTAAATGTACAGCCTCAACTCACTTGTGCTCTAGGTAAATAAGGAAAAGGTGTATATCCTATTGTGGGCAAAATGGTTTACGGCATAGAAAAGCCAATTTCAGGGTGAGAGAATAAGGAAAGTTGGCATTAGTCACATGTGACCACCAGGACATGTTGGTAGAACATGGAAACTTGCTTTAAGGATTCCTAGACATTGTTAAGTGAGGAGAAGCAAGTAGAAAAGTAGAAAAGGGTTAGGCACTTCAATTCTTGTTATCTCTATATTAAAGGGAATTTTTGCATCAATAAAATGCACAGGGCTCAGAAACTCTAGTTCCCTGTATTTTTCATCAGCACAAAGTGAAGAGCTAAGGAAGTTGTGGTCTTTGGCTGGTGGATGGGCTGAGAATGTGGTTCAAATCTTCCAGGGAAAAGGAGAAGGGAATATATGAAGTAGACCAAGTCTAGCTCCAAAATCACCTTGAACTTTTACAAAAAGTGAAATTCATCCTTGTATTATTAGAAGTATTAGTGGTATTTTCCAGGACAAAACATATTCTAATTTGGCACAAATATGAGAGAACTGAAAATTTTTATTATAATAACAGCAAGCAAACATTCAACTGGATGGGGCAGAAGTGTGCAGATGACCTGCCAAGCAATAAGTACTCAAGGTGAGGGAGGTGGGGTCGCAACCACAGATTTCTTTCTCAAGAAAAGGAAAGAGCTAGTTATTCATTCAAATTGGTTAAACTGAGGTTGGTCAAAGAGTTTCTACAGATACAACTGAATATACTAACCATTGTTCTCTTATCTGTTGAATTGCTCTTTCACTCTCGCATTTGGGGATTGCATTTAGTTGAATTTGGAGAGATCTATTTTCCAGACAAGTCATTGTTCTTCAAAGAGCAGATGATAAGGAACAATTTGAGTCCTTATGTGAAAATGTAAGTAAACAAATTAACATTTATCTAGAAACAATTCTACAAGCATCTCCATCTATAGATTTACCTAATACAAACAAAGAATTGATCTCTCTAACAAACCATAGGGGTAAGATGATTACCATGTCCCTAAAGGCAAATATGAGTAGAATTACAGGGAGAGATTATCTGCTGATCTAGAAAGAATCTAGAAGAGACATTTTACTAAGGATAAAGAGATATAGCTTGTGGTGATCTTCTTTGGTCTCCCACATTCCTTTTCTCTGTGAGTCTGAGGAAGAGTTCACAAGGTAGCAAGCATCAGTACTTTCTGCTTTGGAGTTTCACAAATCGGGAATTTGTCCCTCTCCTATTAAGTCAATCAGACATCTACCAACTGCCAATGGTGAATTTTACTGCACTCCTTCGTCCTGAGAGCCTGAGAGACAGAAACCAGAGCACCCTGACTTGGCTAAATGAGTAGCATGGGGCAAGTTCACCAGAGAATATGCAGAAAATATCGACAGATTTTCTTCAGCTTTAATCTTCCAAAAAAATTCGTGAGAAAATATGGTAAGCAATGTTTAACAAATTAAAGATGAATTCAACCATATCATTCTGACTTTCAACTTCCCTTCTGACAGCTTGCTGCCTTACAGCATAGAAATCCTCCCTTTCTGCTAATTCCCTCTCCATTTGTGCCTTTCTCTTTTCCTGTTCCAGTTCATCTCTCAGTTTTCTGATTTCGTTTTCATATTCCCGTCTTATCTGTGCTTTCTCTCTCTCCAGCTCTGCTCTGTATTTTTCTAGCGCCACTTGGGTTTGTTTCTGAATCTCCTGCTCAGCCCTTTTGTACATCTTATTAGTGTAGCATCCTCCCCCATTCTCCCTCACCACGTGCTGCAGCAGGGCCAGCAGCTGCTCCCTCTGGGCCTCCTGCTCAGCGCCTGTTGCCCTATTGTTGAACACACAGTAGCGATCACCAAACTTGCTCATCAACTCTTGAATGCCCGCTGGAGCTTTCCTTAAGTAATCATGAAAACTGGTACCATCCAAGTCATCTTTCCGGGTGAATAAGAGAGTCATGAATTTTCTAGCCCTGTCTCCAAACATTTTCAGGATCTTCTCTATGGCCTCATGCTCTTCCTCAGTGTAACGGCCCAGTGGGACCACCAGGAGCAGGGCATGAGGCCCTGGGGAGGTCAGGAGGATGCAGCGGACAATCTCCTTGCTTATGTCATCATCTGGCACCTCGGTGTCAAAAATGCCAGGTGTGTCAACCACAACAAGTTCTATTTCCTTCCACCTGCTGCTCCTTTTCTCACAGGTCTTGGTAATGGATTTGGCTGCGATGCCAGAATTAAACACTTTCTCTCCAAGGATGCTGTTCCCTGTTGCGCTTTTTCCTGCTCCAGTTCTACCCACTAAGACAATTCTCAGTTGGCTTCCAGGCTCTGGAACATCAAGGAAACAAAAGCCACACTGTTAGAATCTACCTGCAACAGTTTACACTACATTGACCCCGCTCCCAGTGCCCTTCTCTGTTGCTGGCCATGGGATTCTCCCTGGTGACTGCTGCACGCACAGGAAGTCTGCAGAAAGCCCTCTGGGCCTGATGTGCATCATGCAGTACTTGGGAAACCAGCCCTTCCCTTAACTTCCTATCTTCAGATTCCCTTGAGCTTCTTACTCTGATCTTTCGTAACTAGGTAGCCCACAGAAGAGGAAATAAAATGGTTTCAAAAGAGAACTGTGATTTTTCATTCTTGTGATACCTCACTTCTAAGGATGGGCTCAAGCTCTATCCAGGATAATATAAGAGGTGCTAGCTCACTGTTGTTTTTTGTAGTTGAGTAGTATTTCACTGTATACATATACACCATTTCATTAATCCACTCACGTACTGATGGGCATTTGGGTTGTTTCTACGTCTTTGTAATTGTGAATTGTGCTGCCATAAACATTCGAGTGCAGATGTCTTTATTATAGAAGGTCTTTTTTTCCTTTGGGTAGATGCCTAGTAGTGGGATTGCTGGATCAAATGGTATTTCTATTTTTAGCTTTTTCAGGTATCTCCAAATTGCTTTTCACAGGGGCTGTACTAATTTTCAGTCCCACCTGCAGTGTAAGAGTGTTCCAATCTCTCCACATCCACACCAGCATTTGTTGTTTGGGGACTTTTTGATAAAGGCCAGTCTCACTGGAGTTAGGTGCTATCTCATTGTGGTTTTGATTTGCATTTCCCTAATGATTAGAGATGTTGAGCACTTTTTTATATGTTTGCTGGCCATGAATCTGCCACATGTACTCCCCATCAAATTGGTAATAACTGATCAACATTAAGGTGCTCACATGGTAATAATATTCATTGGGTGCTGGTCAAATGGGGAAGCGGAGGGGGTAACACTCAAAACTAATGGATGCGGAGTGCACTGCATGGGGGAAGGGCACGCTTGTAGCCCTGGCTTGGGCAAGGCAAAGGCATTGCATGTAACCAAAATGTTTGTTCCCCCATAATATCCTGAAATAAAAAAATAAAGAGAGAGGGAACTGTGAGTTTCTGCTCATACCTGCACCCAATAAGGTGCAGGAAGTAACACAAGATTTTGGGGCATCTGCAGTAGAGATTTATATTTCTAATTTGTATTGAAAATGGAGCATTTGCTGTTCTCATTAAGAAGTCAGGGGGTTGAATTATATTAATACAACCAATGACTATCCTTAAGGCAGAATTAGCCACGTTTGATAACCAGAATCTTAGGATAAAAGAAATATATTTCCAAAAGTTACATGCCTCACAACAGGAAGGCTAAGATTATCTAAAGAAAAATGTGGGCTGGTGTTTGCATTATTATTTAGTTTGCAACACAGTGGGAGATTTCCTCTTAAGGATATCCTGAGGGTGTTGCTTAGCCATACAGAGGGGGCATAGGAAAGGCATAGGAGGGAAAACGAAAAGGCATCAAAGGCCAGCTCCAACACTGCAACAGTTTGGTCATGTTGATAGCATATGGGTAGCAATCCCTGGAGGAGATGGCAAATGTAGCCACAAATTATTCCCATTCCCTGTACGCATGGCTCTGGCTCTTTGGGATGCGGATCTACAGTTCCTCCCATAAGCATGCTGTCTCTTCAGCCCTTGAATCTGGGTTGGCCATGCTGCTTGCTTTGGACAACAGGACAGTAGAAAGCGTGCAAGCAGAGGCTCAAAAGTGCTCGTGCATTGTGGCTGGCCTTCTCTTTCTGCTCTTCCTGCAACTACCTGCTGAAGAAGCCTGGACTAGCCTACTTAGTGATGATCCCTGTCACCCTGGCCTGAGGGCTGCTCACTACCAGACCTGTCTGTGACGCTGTCCAAGACGAACCACCAGCTGACCGCAGAAGCCCAAGTGAGTGCCCGAGATGAGCCGAGCTGGTCCAGATCCAAGAACTGCCCAGCTGACCCGCTAACTAAAGGATTGTTGTTTTAAGCTACTAAATTATAGGACAGTTTGCTAAACTAGCAAAAGCTCAACTGACACCGTCAATTTCCATGGCTCAGTGAGGAAAGGGAAGGCTGTGTGATACACCCAGCATGTCAGCCAGTTTAATTTGTTGGTTCTAGACCACCAGGAGCTGGGGAATTAGGGATCTTGAGGAAGGATCAATTTTTCCCTCATTCCTCTTTCCCAGTCCTCCCCTAGGCTGAAGAGAGGCAGAAAAGCAGCCAGAGAGGCTACAGCCAGCTGTTCTGGTGTGTCAACTTTGTAGGAAGCAGGAGGGAAAAAAATGCCAACCTCTGGCTAGAACAGAGGATATTTTAATCTCTCTTCCACTTAGCTGTTGTGGCCACATCATAAGGAGAAAGTGTAAAGGGTCAAGAGAACTAAAAGAGCAGGGCAAATGAAGAAAAAGTGAGAAAGGAGGTTGGAGGTAGTTTCCTCTTGCTCGGATGGGGACAGGCCGACAAGGCGGGAGGACCTCCTGGCTCTGCTGTCCTCCCTGCAGCCTGGCCCAGGGAGCCCGGTCACTCTCTCACCGTGGCTCATTGTTGGGTGTCCGGGGCTGGAGCTCATGCCGTGGTGTTGGGTTGCCATTGTGGTTTGAACGCCTGTAGATCAAGAAACATAATCATGTCGTTTAGGAAAATGGACAGCACCTGGAATCCCCAACCATCTGTAGGCAACTCATTTTCGCCAGAAACTTGTTACTTTGATTTCTCCTGCCCCATTTCCCTCAACTCTTCTCAACTCTCCATTTTCAGTCTCATTTTCAGGTTGTTCCTTTTTCTGTACACAACCATAAATGCTTCTAGTGCTTTCTCAGCACTGGTTCTGGCTCCTTCCCCCTCCCTAACCAGTGATTAATTGCTTTGATGCTTTGTATACCTAGTCTGTAGGATATACCCTTGTCAAGCTCCAAATTTTTATATCCCATTCAACTTCATCTGACGATTTCATGGGTATCTCCACCAGCACCTTCCCACAGCTGAGCCCTGGACCTCCACCCCAGCCTGCTCTGCCTCCGTCATTTCATTCAGCCAGTGGCTCCTACAGGACCCTGGGGTAACCCACAACCCTCCTTTCCTCACTCTCTTGTTAGCCCATCACCAAATCCTACTGATTCTACTTCCAAATACCTCAAAATCACCTGTTTCTCTCCCTCTTCACACTAATACAATCCACTGTCATTTGTTTGCAATGCGGCAGGCTCCTAACTGGCCATCTCCCCTTCGATCCCTTTTTTACTCTATAATCAGAGGTTATTTTAAAACTGAAATTTGATTTTTTTTTCTTGTTCAAATTCCCTAGTAGCTTACTCTTGCTTCTTGAAAATAGTTTGAATTCCTGAAATGGTCTATAAGGCCCTGTGCATTCAACTACCTTCTCTCTCAGAAGGCTTGAGCCACACAGATCTCCTCAATGTCCTCAGAATCCTCTAGGCCTCTTCCTCCTTCAAAGCCTTTGTAGTACTTTTCCCACTCTCTGGAGCATTCCAACTGCAATCGGTGTCCAGCTCATTCCTGCTTGGCCTGCAGGCCTCGGCTCTCCAGAGAGGTCTTCTCCACCCTCTCCCCCCAACACCACCACCCACCAACAATACCCCTCTGGTGGGGTCGACTGTTATTTGCTCTCATTGCACTCCAGGGATTTCTTTCAGAATAGACACTACAACAGAAAGTTATTTGTCTGGTTTTTACTGTCTCCTCTTAGATTATAAGCATTTGATGGGAGAACCGTGTGTGTCTTATATTTCCCTTTATTCCCTGGGGACAAGCACAATACTGGATGATGAGTGGATCTCAATAAATATTTGTCAAATAAATACATCGATAATCTCCCACTTCTTGCCTTTCTCTGATTCATCACTATGTCCAGCCCACATCTAATCTGTGACAATGACAATCCTGTCCTTGTTGATTAATATTTAGTGTTACAGAAACACAGCACTAATTTTTTAAATGTTTTCTTTCACTGCTACCTACAGGCATTTTGCAAAGGAGAAAGACATTTGAAGAACTCTTACTGGAGCAGACTTTGATCAAGACAGGCAGAAAATGGTAGTTTTTAAAGACAGAGTCACTAGATAGGAAGCCATCAAATATAAGTATGAAACATTGTCAAAAGCTGGACACTTCTTTTGAAAGAAGGATTTTTTCTTTATCCTTTAGAATAGAGAGTAGGAAACAGCTTCTCATAAACAGGGAGGAGAAATCATAGAAATTTTAAAAATCGGCTTTGGTGATTGGTGTTAGGAAAGGGGATAGGATACCAGCAACAAGAAAACAAAGAGTCTTTGAGTATTTGTTAATGTCCTGAGTCCAGCACCTGGGCTCTTTAATGCTGCTCTGTTGATCCTAACTCAGATGCAAAACTAGGAGACTGTGCTTCATAGGTGCTGACCTCAGGTGGCTGATTTCTGCTCCCTCTGCCTAAGAACACGCAGCCATCAGTTCCCAGATTTCTCTGAACTGTATAGAGTCACACAGGGTGGCATCTCCCTCCTCCTGTCTCCTAAAGGGGAGCTCAGCTCCGCATAAACCCACGAAGGGACTGCCCCTGAAGAGGCAGCTTCCCTAGTAACAAAACCTCAGACCAGGCCGGGCACGGTGGCTCGCGCCTGTAATCCTAGCTCTCTGGGAGGCCGAGGCGGGCGGATTGTTTGAGCTCAGGAGTTCGAGACCAGCCTGAGCAAGAGCAAGACCCCGCCTCTACTAAAATTAGAAATTAATCAGCCAACTAAAAATATATAGAAAAAATTAGCCGGGCATGGTGGCGCATGCCTGTAGTCCCAGCTACTCGGGAGGCTGGGGCAGTAGGATCACTTGAGCCCAGGAGTTTGAGGTTGCTGTGAGCTAGGCTGACGCCACGGCACTCACTCTAGCCAGGGCAACAGAGTGAGACTCTGTCTCAAAAAAAAAAAACAGAAAAACAAAAAAACCTCAGACCACAGGGCCTCCAGTCCTGAACCATGTGCAGGCTCTCGGGGGCTGCATGCTGATCTGAGACCCCTACATCTCCCAATGTTCTTCTCCCCATGAGCTCCCCCAGACCTACTTCTGTTTGCTCACTCAACTTTATTCCTGAAAGAATCAACGATTACTTATAAAATTTATAACCAATGAAAGGAATCATTTATTTGTAAAACAAGTAACCTCTGAGCAGCAACCCCTGAAAGAGGCATTAATTTGTAGGCTTCAGCCTTCAGAACAGACTACAACCTAAAATCAACAAAGACAGGAAATATGAAACAGCAAGAAATCTATTCTGAGAGCAAGTTTGAGATATAGACCCAGGGGAGAGGTCTCCTCCCCATGAAATCACACTCCCCCCCAACATGCCCCGACTCCCTTACCTGAAAGGTCTGGGTCCTGCACCCTTATCTGATTTTGCAGGCAATTCTACGCCAGGATATTGAGAAAGAGGATCAGAGAGGAAGTGAGGGGAGGAGTTTTTCAAACTTGCTTGTGCAAGGGACCTGCCCACCTTGTCATCCAGCAGCGCGAGCAGCACTTTCTGCAGGGACAGGATTGCTTTGTGCTGTCCATCATGGCGACCACTAGCCACATGTGGCTGTCGCACACTTAACATGTGACAGGTGTGATTATAGCTCTGAATTTTTAATTTTATTTCATTTCAATTTATTTGAAATTAAAGTTAAATCGCTACCTGTACCTAGTGGCTACCACACTGAGCCTCACAAAACTCTGCAGTGAGAGAAGAAACATGAGTCATGCTGTGACATTGAGAAGAAACTTCTAGTCAAAACCAGACAGTTGCCAGCTATTCTGAAAGACCCCTTGGTCCCTGGACCCCCACTTAGCACAAGAGGCCTCCCAGCTGATGTTTGCTTCTGGTGCTCAGGCCTGTTTCAGTGTAGGCAGCTACCTCCTCTCCTCGTTCCCAGTGATGTGAGAGACAGAGAGCTGCTATTCCAGGGTGTGTCCTCTCAGTCATCTGCTAGAAGCAAAACAGGGTAAAGGATGTTCATTTGACTGACTAAGATGGGCCCAAGTCACCCAGGGAGATGGTCCTGGGACCACTGAAATAGTCTAGCCATTGATATCCGATACTACCTGCCATTAAAATGGAAAGTGAGATATTATAATAGGGGTTCCAGTTCTCCATTATACCCATTATTCTTCCATTATAAAAGGGTTCACGATTTATCATTATACTCAACAATTGAGACAGCATTTAGAAATGCATAGTACTTTAGTAATTATACAAATTGCTGGGCTTTTTTTTCCAAGATGGCTGACTAGAAGCATTCCTCATCCACTTAGAGCAATCAAAATAGTGTATGAAAAATTACACTTTGAGTATATTATCCAAGCAGGAACACAGGCGTTCAACAGAAAAGCAAAATGAAACTCCAAATTCTGGGAAGGAGGAGGAAATCAGGCAGCCTGCATGGCCAAGATTGCCAAAATGGGAAGTGAATCCCCGTTACTAGAGAGGGTGGCTGTGTGTCTTTCTGTGGTTCACTTTCCCACTGAGGGATCATACAATCCAGATCACGGGAGACCACCTTTATTCTCCCAAGCCCCAAATCTAACTTAGGGAGCAGCCAGGACACTGTGAGAAGGAACTGCTCCAGGAAGCACCCCAAGCATGCCCCAGACCTACCCAGCTACCATAAGATGCCATTCCTGATCCTAAATCTTAACAAGCTGTGCATGGTCCCTGGATCTAGCAACATCAGTCTTTGATGTTAGAGAAATTTAGGCTGGGGTTTGGGGAACAGAGGCTTGAGCAGCTGAGAGGGTCCTACAACCAGGACTGAGAAACAAGCGTCATGTGGGCTCCAGCCGCTGGTGCTGGAACCTGGCCATCACCCCAGGACCTGAACAAAAGAACAATTGCTGAGGAGGCTGGATGTTAAGCCAGGTGGCATCTTCCATGGGCTGGGGCTGTACGGAGAATTTCTGCATCTCTCATAGCATCGAAGTTGGCAGCTGGTCTGACTGTTCCTTGAGTGCCCTGAGTCATCGCAGCAGGCTGACTAGGGTACGGAGTTTGTCCTCCAGGATACTGGCCTCCAGGAAAGCCACCAGGCAGTGGGTCCTGTGTCGGACCATCACCATAAGACTGTGAAGGTGGCTATGGATACCCAGAAAAGCCTGTACCACCTGGTGGGACTCCCAATCCTTGGCCTAGAGGAAATCCAGGGTAGGATGGAGCTTCCCCTGGCTGTGGGGCACCAGGATAGCCCCCAGGGGCTGGATAACCTCTAGGTGCAGGGTAGTCTCCAGCTCCTAGGTAGCCACTACTTGGCACTTGTGGGTAAGCACCTCCTCCCATTCGAGGAAAGTCACTAGGATGAGAATACTGACCTGGAGGAAGAAAAGATGATTCCTGACCTGCAGGAGGATATCCAGGGAAAAGTGGGTAGCCTGTAGGAGGATAACCTCGGTATTCTGACCCTGGGAACAGCATCACAGCCCAACCCGGTCACCTGCAAGATGGAGCTGGGGCTTCTCACTGCCTTGATCAATAGCACCTGGCTTCCACTGAGAGGGCTGATCCACACTCATCTCCTTTATCAAAGGGTAAATTGGCCACACCCTTGTTCTTTCCTGAACAGACTTTATTTTTTTCCAATATGGATAGATAGAATTTTCCAAAATTCTGAGTTCTACTTCCCTTTGACTAACAATTTCATCTTTAAGTTATTTCTCTTCTCACATTTTATTATAAGCAGTCGAGAGAAGCCAAGCTGTACCTTCAACACTTTGTTTAAACATTTCCTCAGCTAAATATTCAATTTCATCGCTCACAAATTCCACCTTCCACAAAACACTAGCACATGAACACCATTTGGCCAAACTCCTTGCCACTTTTTAATAATAATGTCCTTTCTTCCATTGTCCAACATGTCCCTTTATCTGTCTGAGACCTCAGCAGAGTAGCCTATACCATTCTCATTTCTACCAAATAACCTAAACAGTTATTCTTTAAGAAAACTGAGGCTTTCTGAGCCTCACCAGCATCATCCTAAATGGCCCATTCACAGCAATGTAGGCTTTTTCTTGCACACACTACCAAACGCTTCAGCCTCTACTCATTACCCAGTTCCAAAGCCACTTGTACATTTAAAATATTTGTTACAGCAGCATCCCCACTTCTTGGTACCAACTTTCTCTCTTAGTTCATTTGGGCTGCTATAATAAAATACTATAAACTTGATGGCTTATAAGCATGAGAAATTTATTTCTCACAGTTTTGGAGGCTGAGGAGTCCAAGGCACTGGCAGATTCAGTGTCTGGTGAAATGCTACTTCCTCGCAGATAACCACTGTTTCACTCTAACCTCCCATGGTGGAAGGGGCAAGGGGCTTCTGTTTAGCCTCTTTTTTAAGGGCACTAATCCCATTCAGGAGGTCTCTATCCCAATGACCTCATCATCTTCAAAGGCCCCACCTTCTGGTATCAGCTTCTTGAGGGTGAGGATTTCAACATACCAATTTTGTAGGGACACAAACATTCAGACTTTAACAGATACATTTTGATAACTTGTGTCTCCTTTATGATTTAGTTCAAAGAATGTTTTGATTTCTATCTTAGTTTCCTCCTTAACCCAATAATCATTCAGCAAAAGGTTGTTTAGTTTCCATGACTTTGTGTAGAGATGAGTATTTCTGTTGGAGTTGATTTCTAATTTTATTCCACTGTGTTCTGAGAAGATGCATGGTACAATTTCTATTTTTTTAAGTTTGTTGAGACCTGTTTTGTGGCCTAAGATATGGTCAATCTTACAGAATGTCCCATGAGCTGATGAGAAAAATGTATGCTCAGTGGTTTTAGGGTAGAATGTTCTGTAAGTGTCTGTCAGACTCATTTATTCTAGAGTTCTGTTTAAGTCCATTGTTTCTTTGTTTATTTTCTGTTTGGAGGCTCTGTCCTGTCCCATCAGAGGGGTGTTGAAGTCCCAGCTATTATGGTGCTTCTGTTTATCATTTTGTTTAGATAAAGTAGGATTTGCTTTATGAATCTGGGTGCCCCTGAGTTAGGTGCATAAATATTTAGAATTGTTATGTCTTCTTGTTGAATTGTTCCCTTCACCATTATATAATGATTATCTTTGTCTTTCATTACTTTTGTTGATTTGAAGACTAAGTTATCTGAAATTAGAACTGCTACGCCAGCTTTCTTTTGGTTTCCGTTTGCTTGGAATATTGTTTTCCATCCCTTCACTTTGAGTCTGAATGCATCCTGTGGGTTGGATGTGTTTCCTGAAGACAGCAGTTACTTGGCTTGTGTATATTTATCCATTCAGCCAGCCCATGTCTCTTTAGTGGGCAGTTCAAGCCATTCACATTTATTGAAAGTGTTGATAAGTGGGGTGGATTCCTGTTCATCCTGTTGAGTTGAATTTTGTTGCTTTGTTTTCTCTCTTGAGCCATGTGGTATCTGGCCTTTGACTTTTAGCTTTCGGATGATTTTACACTGGTGAGTGTCTACTGTGCTGATCCGTGTGTAACACTGTTCTGAGTACTTCCTGGAGGGCAGGTCTTGTCTTGATGAATTCCTTCAGTCTTTGCTTGTCTGAGAAGGTCTTTATTTCTCCTTCATATGAGAAACTTAGTTTTGCAGGATACAAAATTCTAGGCCAGGCATTATTCTATTCGAGAAGATTGAGAATGGGGCCCCTGTCCCTTCCGGCTTGTAAGGTCTCAGTTGAGAAGTGTGCAGTTAGTCTGATGGCTTTTCCTTTGTAGGTTACCTGCTGCTTTCACCTTACAGCTTGTAGGAGAGCCTCTTTCATGTTTCTTTTGGCCAGTCTGATGACTATGTGTCATGGTGTCTTCCTGTTTGTGATGAATATCCCAGGAGTCCTTTGAGCTGCTTGTACCCGAATATCTAGATCTCTAGCAAGGCCAGGGAAATTTTCCTCCATTATATCCTCAAACAATTTATCCAATCCTTGTATATTTTCTTCTTCACCCTCAGGGATGCTTATGATTCTTATGTAAGGCCTCTTCACATATTGCCACATTACTTGTAGGCTCTGCTCTTTTCTCTTATTTCTCTGCTCTATCTCTGTGAATTGTTTAACTGAAAGGTGTTATCCTCAATCCCTGAGATTCTTTCTTCTGCTTGGTCTAGCCTATTCTTGAGGCTTTGACTGTGTTTTGCAATTCCTTAAATAAATTCTTCATTTCTAGAAGTTCCATTTGATTTGTCTTTAATATTTCAATTTCTTTAATGAGTCTTTCATTCATTTCCTGGATTTTTTGTGGTTTCCTTGTGTTGAGTATCCATTTTATCTTGCGTTTCATTGAGTTTTCTTATAATCTATATTCAAAATTCTTCATCTGTCATATCAGTGTTGTGATTTTGGTTGGTATCGATTGCTAGAGAGTTGCTGTTCCCTTTTGGGGGTATCCTTTCAGTCTGATTCTTCATACTTCTGGAGTTCTTTGGCTGATTCCTTCCCATCTGGAGCTGCTGTTGCTTCTTACTTTTGGATTTTCATTTAGATAACACCACCAGTTTAGTCTCTGAGCCAGTATGTGGTGCTTGTGGGTGAGAATCAACCACATCCTTTATAATGAGTCAGTAGATGCAGTAAAAGGGTGTGCAGAATGACCTCCCTGTCAGTAAGGGGCGCTTGCTGGGAGGAGTAAGCTGCAACGTTGTTTTTGGGTCCTTTAACCAGCTCTAGCTCCTCTGGAGGGGCACTCTAGTGCCTCAGGTGGTGAGTAGGGCCTTGGGAGTTCCAGGTGTGTCCTTATTCTCCACCTCAGCAGGAGTAGAGGGAAGAGTGAGGCAGGACTGGGTTGGGTAAACCTGCCCTCAAGCTCCAGAAATGCTTTTAGTGGGGTTCAAAGATCTATTCCTTTCCTCGGGGCAAAGCTGCCAGGGAGAGGCTGAAGTGTCCCACTGAACCAGAAAGTGTGTGTGTGGAGGTGGTGCTGTCTGAGACCAGCAGTCTGTCAGTCTGGGACAGGCCTCTCTCCTTCCCACCCTTCCCTATTCCACAGGTTTTCCCCGCCCTCTGCTGGCAGGCAGGACCTCAAGCCAGCTGAGCTCCCCCAAAACTGTGATGCTGGGTGGGAACTTCCCTATCCAGGATCATGGCCTGAATTGGAATCATGGCCCTCCCATGGGAGGAAGGTTGCCCCTCGAGCATGCTGCAGCTTGGACCCACTCTGATCTGCCCCTGAAGGCACACATGCCTCAGTAGACTAATTCACAAATATCCCTTCTGTGCCTCCAGGCAATGGGATTGAGACTTGAGTGTATGGGATCTGGCCTGCAGGCCTTTCCCCCAGCCTCAGAGATCAATTCCTGACCATGCCAGGGAGAAAAATGCTGGTCCCACGTCACCCATGGGGTGCCCAAGTTGGATCAATGTCACTCCGCCTCAGGGTTTGCCCCACTCTGCTGGAGTTACTGGACAAGTAGCATCAGGAAGGGCCAGAAGGTAAGGAGCTCACAGTCAGAGCACCCCTCAGTCCACTGCAGGGCCTTAAAAGGAAAAGTCCAAGCCCTGTTCCCTGTGGATGCCTCCAGGTGGTGTCTAAATTGTCCCTCTCAACAGCTGTGGGTAGGGGAAGGGAAGGGGAGAATGAAGGACTAGGTGGAGGAAGGATTGCATGCTGATAATCTCCAACTCTTCCTCTGGGAGGCAGTCCTCCCAGAATGACCAGGCCCTGTAGTCCTGCAGTTCTCCCAGTACCACTGAACCCCTGTGGTTCCTGCAATCTGGGCCAGAATTGGGAAATGTCTGTGTGGGGACAAGCAAGATGGATCCTGAGGAGTTGAGGCCTCCCGGTGAGAACAAAGTTGCCCAGTGTGTAGAGAAGCAGTATGGCATCTGCTGACTGGCTCAGTTCTGTCGGGTGGGAGCCAACCCCGAGGGAGCTGGGAGTCTGAAGCCCTGTCCACAAGAGGCTTTCCACTCACTGGTGGCAGCAGTCTCCGGGCTGGCATTGGCAGGTTTCTCCAGCAGCTCAGGAGCTGCTGGAGGGGAATTTTAACCACTTCGCCTACCCTTCTTGCTGGTCTCCAAGACTCCCAGGGCTTAGTCCCTACCAATGCCTTTCTCCTTGCAGTTCTGCTCTGCAACCTCTTCCCGTGGAGTCTCCTGTAGGTTCAGGCACCCTTCCTCCTGACCCTCATCTGATCTGTTTGTCTGTCTTTTCCTCTTTCATCGAAACTTTCTCCTTCTTGCAGAGACACTCTGGTGTTTCTCATCTGCCATCTTGCCTCTCCCCTAGATGAGACTTTGGACTTAGACTTTAAAATACTAGATACTAGAATAATTTAAGACTTTGGGGGCTATTAAATGAAATTAATGTATTTTTCATGTGATAAGGGCATGAATCTTGGGGTGCTAGGAACAGAATGCTATGGTCTGAATGTTTATGTCCCCCCAAAATTCATAAGTTGAAATTCTTACCCCCAAGGTGATGGTATTAGGAGCCAGGGCCTAGGGAGGTGACCAGGTCATGGGGGCAGAGCCCTCATGAATGAGATTAATGGCCTTATTAGAAGAGGCCCAAGAGAGACCCTTCATTCCTTCTACCATGTGAACTGAGAGCAAGAAAATGGCTGTCTATGAGGAACAGGCCCTCACCAGACTCAAATCTGCTGGCACCCTGATCTTGGACTTCTCAGGTACCAGAACTGTGAGAAATAAATTTCTGTTGTTCATAAACCACCCAGTTTACAGTGTTTTTTATAGCAGCCCAAATGGACTAAGACAATAGCTGAAGGAAACTAAATCAGTATGTTGCAGAGATATCTGCACTCTTATGCTCATTGCAGCATTGTTCACAACAGCAAAGATATGGAAACAATCCGTGTCCATGGACAGATGAATGGATAAAGAATATGTGGTGTTTTATTAACATTTCATTAATAATGGAATATTATTCAACCTTGAAAAAAAGAAAATCTTGCATTTGCAACAATATGGATGAAACTGGAGGACGTTATGTTAAGTGAAGTAAACCAGCCACAGAAAGACAAACACTGCATGATCTCACTTATATGTGGGATTTTAAAAACTAGAGCTCCCAGAAGCAAAGAATAAAATGTTGGTTGCCAGGGGCTAGGGACTAGGAGATATGAGGAGATGTTGATCAAAGAATACAAAGTTTCAATTATGCAGGGTAAATAAGTTCTCAAGATCTAATGTGAAGCATGGTGACCATAATTACTAACACCGTATTGTATTTCTGAAATTTTCTAAGAGAGTAGATCTTAAATGTTCTCATCGGGCCAAAAAAAAAAGTAACTGTGAGATGCTGATATGTTACTTACCTGGATTTAATAATTTCACAATGCACACATATAGCAAAACATCACATTGTACACCTTAAATATACACATTTTTTATTTGTCAATTATACTTAATAAAGCTGGGAGGCAGGAGGTATTATTGCAGCCATCTTTGAAAAATAAAATCCATCACATTAACAAATCACAGTAAGTTAAGGAGAAAGAATGAAATAGACATTAATTCCAAAACCAATGCCATATTTCTGAAAGCTTTTTAAAAATACTAGTTAAAATTTTTTCAAATGTATTACTCTCAGCTTCTTCCCTTATATTTCTTAGTTTTTCCTCGTATTTCCTCATTAGTGACTCTATTTTTTTCTCCTTTTCATTCTTTGATTTATGAGCATAATCCTTTTCTACTCTTTTTATTTTCTCATTTAATTCATCAGTGTAGGTTTTCCTCAAAAGCTCTGCCTCTCGTCTCACGCGTTTCTCTGTGTCCCTGTATATGGCGTCAGAAAAGTAAGACCCTCCGTTGGCTTGCACCATTTTCTCTATCAGCCCCACCAGCTCCTGCACCTGACTTTCCTTCTCTGCTTCTACAACGTTGCTAAATGCACAGTAGCGGTTGCCGCACTCTTGGATGATGTTTTGTAGGTTCACATCTGCTTCTGCTATAAAATCATTTAGCATTAGGCTCTGGCTCATTAACTCTTCTTTGCGAGTGAACAAAATGATCATGTACTTCATGGCTGGCTCCCCAAAGAGAGCCTTGATCAATGCAACGGTTCTCTGCTCTTCCTCTGTGTAGCGGCCCAGAGGCAGAACCAGAACAATGGCGTGAGGCCCTGGGCACGAGCAAAGGACACACTTGCTGATTTCCTTGCAGGTGGTGTGCAGGTTCTCCTTGGTGTCAAAGAGCCCAGGGGTGTCAACAACAACAAGTTCTCTCCCCTTCCATTCCCGCAATGCTCTCTGACAGGTCTTGGTAACAGCATGGGCAGCAATTCTAGAGTCAAAGATTCTCTCCCCAAGGATGGTGTTTGCTGTTGCACTTTTCCCACTTCCAGTCTTCCCTACCAGAACGATCCTCAAAGACTGGTCTGTATGCTCAGCCATGTTCACACCAAGAAGCTCTGGAGCTTAGGCACGCACAAGACCTCAAGGAGGGAAAGGAGAAGAAAAAAAAAAGATGAATTTAAGTAATAGGAACCATTCCCAGCCCTCTTTTCTTCCTCTCCCTGAAAATGTGTTATATTCTATTATCCATATTGATCCCAGTAGGGACTGAAAGATGAAATAGTTCAAAGACTATGAAAGAAATAATAAGGTAGTTAAAGAGTTTCCCCACAGAAGAGTACCAGGTCCAGATGGTTTCACAGGGAAATTCTATTAAACCTTTTAAGATCTGATCATCTCAATGCTACTTAAACTGTTCTCAACCATACAAAAAGAAGGAAAACTTTAAATTCTTTCTATGCAAGTATAATATTGATTCCAAAAGCTGGCAAAGATTTCACCAATAAAAAACTACAGATGTGTCTCATTTGTGAATATTGATGCAAAAATCCTAAATAAATTATTAGATAGTAACAAATGTACACCATGATTTAGGGTGATTTATTTCAGAAATACTGGGGGGGTCAGTCAATATGAGAAAATTACTACCATATACGCATAGATTAAGAAGAAAATTACCTAGATGCAGAAAGGACACTTGACCAAATTTAACACTGATTCATTTTTAAGCCATTTCATAAAGCAGAAATTAATACATACTTCTTAAATATAATTTTATTCAAATATAAATTTTTAAACTTTTGTCATCATTTTCTGGAACTAAAAATGCTGATTATGAAGTCCATTTGGATGCAGAGAAAAGCCAGTTAGCCTGGACAATCAAGAAAAGAAAGGCTGGGTGTGGTGGCTCACGCCTGTAATCCTAGCTCTCTGGGAGGCCGAGGCGGGAGGATTGTTTGAGCTCAAGAGTTCGAAACCAGCCTGAGCAAAAGCGAGACCCCATCTCTACTAAAAATAGAAAGAAATTAACTGGACAACTAAAAATATATAGAAAAAATTAGCCGGGCATGGTGGCGCATGCCTGTAGTCCCAGCTACTCGGGAGGCTGAGGCAGGAGGATCACTTGAGCCCAGGAGTTTGAGGTTGCTGTGAGCTAGGATGACGCCACGGCACTCTAGCTGAGGCAACACAGTGAGACTCTGTCTCAAAAAAAAAAAAGAAAAAAGAAAAGGAAGAACAAGAAAAGACCACCTCCACCAGAGAGTGAAACATTATAGCCTCTATAAAGAAGTATGACACTGGTGAATGAATAGAGAGACAGACTGTGAAACAGAAGCAGAAAATTAAGGAATAGACCATTGCTCATCTAATATTCATTTATGTTCAATTCAATTATATTATGTTACATTTATATTCCATAAAACACCATCTCATATCAATGGGGGAAAAGATGAACAATTTCATAAACAACATTGGGATAACTATATAACCATATAGAAAAGGATAAAATGGCATTGAATTCCTTATACCATGCAAATTCCTAATAGATCAGAAATTAAATGTAGAAAATTAGCCCATATATATAATAAAAGAAACACGGATAAATTTTTGTAAAGTGGGAGTAGGGAAAATTTTTCTCCCTTCCAAATACTAACCAGGCCCAACCCTGCTTAGCTTCCGAGATCAGGTGCATTCAGGGTGGTACGGCCACAGATGTAAATGTTTCCAACATTTAAAATAGTATAAGGAAAAGACTGAAAATTTTGATAACATAAAATCTAAAAAACAATGTAAGGCACAATACACCATAGACAAATTAAAACACAAATATCAAACTAGGAAAACATTCTTTTCAATTTATATCTAAGAGAGCTAATTTTCCTATTATACAAAGAATATCTTAGAGAAAGAAAAGATTAACAACTTGGCAGAAAATTGAGCAAGAGATATGAATAGTTCAAGGAACAAAGGAAATGCAAATATCCCTTGAATATATACAGAGATATTCAAATTCATTTATAACAGAGAAAAGTGAATATGCAGTAAAAAATAAAATATAATTACACCAAGATAAATATTTCTCAGCTATAGGTATGGCAAAAAATCCAAAAGTTTGCCTGTATAATTTAGTGGTAGATGTATAGGGGAAATAGGTCATCTCCTGTATGTCTTGTAGGAATGGAAAAACAGTCCACATCTCTAGAGAAGAAGGTAGCAATATCTTGCAAAGTTCATATGTATTTACTCTTTGACTATCAATCCCAATTTTAGGATTTATCCCAAGTCTATACTGACAAAAATGTAGAAGGGAGTATGCACAGGGCGATTCATGCAGCACTATTAGTGATAGCAAATGACCAAAAACCTATCAAATGCCAATCAGTAGGAGACCAGATGAATAAACTGAAGTATAGTCACACCATGTACTTACTATCCAACTGTAAGAAGGAATGAGAAATATTTCTATATACCAGTATGGAGAAATCTCCAGGATATAGCACTAAGTGAAAAAAGGAAGGTGAAGAAAACAATGTATGGTTTACTACTCTGTATATAATAGGGAGGAATAGGAGTTATATATATAAATAATTTTTCATGTACATGTGAAAAAGCAATGGCAGGATCATCTGAAAACTAAACAAACTAAAAAGTTGCCTTTTTTGAAATGGTGGAGGACAGAAACTGGAAACTAGTAAATGAAACAAACGAACCTAATTATAGTTTGTGTGGCAGATGAACCATACAAAGAATTGGCCCAAGAGGCTTGAAAATGCAATAATTTCAGTGTGTGTTTGTGTGTGCGTGTGTGTGCTGTTTTGAAGACCATCTAAAAGGCATAAACAATGGTCAACCCAGTAGCAGTGTGCACACTGAGACCTCAGATTGTGATTGTCAAATGCCATTTTCCACCCAAGAAATTAGGGGTCCCAGAAGACAGTACTGATTCCAGGTCTGAGCCAGGAAACATACAAGTTCAGCCTAGAACATCTTTTCATAGTAGAAACCAGGGATGCTATAAAAAATTGCTATGGTCTTATCAGAAGGACTCAGAAGCCACCTTAATGATGTTCCAACTGGACAAAGATGGGACAGTTTGAGCATCAATAAGAAAAATAATTCCAATGGATAGAAATATACCAAATATGTTAAAACCAATAGTTTATAACAATACTGTCTTCCTATAAGAAGTTAATTCCTCCCTTTGGAGTATGCTAGGAAAGTAACTCAATATTCTGAGCATTGACATATAAAGGGAAAAAATCAAACATTAAAATCTCATATTCTAACTGTATCTCATGAAATAAAAGAACTGCTGAAGGGAAATTTCTCTGCATAGGATTATTCCATGTAATAAATGAAGAAAAAATTGTAGAAGTAGAATATCATCACTTGGGAACTCTTAATGAAACAATAAATTCATTCTAGGCAATCATTAGCATCTGCTAACATCACAAAAAGAGAGACAACCAAACATTATGTGACCTCTAATGGAAGTGGAGAACAACAACTATGAAGTATGCCCACCATAAACGTATCCAACTTTAATCTTATGCAACCTCTCCCTTAATATAAATTCACACAACACACTGGAATGAGAAAAGCGTGTTAAGTGACATCACTGGGATGTAATCAGCAAAACGAACACCATGCAGTCCTGTTGGACCAAAGACTTCCCCTTCCTTAAACAAAGAAATTCCACAGAAGGAAACAAGGAAAGGGGAAACCTACACCTTGAGTGAAATTTAAGAGACGTCGAACAATCTCAATTGTTTATGGACTTTCATTAGATCCTACTTCAAACAATTCATAAAATTATGAGACCATCAGGGAAATCTGAATACAACTGGTAAAAAATTATAGTTGCTTTTGAAGTCCAGTTGTGGAATTGTGGGCATATTTTTTAACTGGTCTTTATCTTTCAAAGATGTATACCAAATATTCACTGATAAAACGATGTAACATCTGAGATTTGCTTCAAAATAGTCTGGCATAGGCGGGGAGTAGATGGCTGAAACAAGACTGGCATGAATTGATGCTTGTGGACCTTGGGATAGGTACGTAGAAGTTCCTTATATTATTCTTTTTATCTTTGAATAAGTTTAAACTTTTCCACAATAAAAAATTTAACATGCATATAATGTAACCACTACTGAGTATACACTGTATATCAGAGCCCCCTGATAGACATGTCTCGAACATTATCCCATTTACTCTTCCTAAATACTTGCAGTGAAACTGATTTTATTGTCCTAATTTCTAAAATGAGGAAACTGATGTGGCTCAAAGGCGCTGGGAAACGTGCCCCCAGTGGCCGTGCTAAGCGGTCCTGGGCAGAGCAGGCCTTCGACTCGAGGTCTGCCGGACTCCGCCGCGCTCACTTTCCACCGTGCGCACCGCGGCCTCGCCTTGCTTCCTCTCGGGCCGTGATTCTAAATGTCAGCCTACGTCCCATCGCAGAGAGACGGGGGGCCGGGAGTCAAGCAGGAGGGCTTCACGTTTCCCTGTGGACTTTTCTCTCTCCCACACTGAGAAGCCAAAGCTGAGGGAGGCAGCAGAAGAAATCATTTTAAGACTTTCTCAAGTGGTTCTTGGACGACCCAGAGGACCTTCCGCTAAGAGAAAGGCTGAGAAGTGAGAAAAGCACGTGCTTTGGACGTGGGCAGACCTACACTGTGGCCAAACCCACCTAGAAAACGTCATAAGCTGCTTGAGGTTCAGTCCCCCTGCTAGGAGAGGGACAAGGAAACCGACCTTGCGGGGCTGACCTGAGGCTTTCGTGGAGTCATTTCTGTAAGGTCGTTTCTCACTGCCTGGAGCACGGCAGCCACTCAGTACCAAGGTAGTCGCTACGGAGTGCTGCCACTGCACAGGAGAGCCAGGGACTGGAAGACACTTGAGTGACTTACCTAGAGCCACATTGCCCCTTAAAAGTGCATCGGGCTACACTGTTTCTTCACCTGTCACACTATTGGCGGCACGGCTTCTCTTTGTTCAATGCTGGAAAGGAGTCAGCAGACTTAATTCTAGCTTTTCTGGCATGAGAGGCCTGGGAAACCCTTGGAGAGTCACTAAACTCTCTGGGATTATGATTCCTTTTTAGCAATAGGAGGAATTTAGACAGGTTGTCTCCAAATTGCCTTCCAGCTCTTGAAATCTGCCTTGGGAGCGCTTAATTTCCTCTGAAGCTTACGCGGCAGCGCTCTGCATGGACCACAGGAGCCGCGGGCAGCAAGGGCGTCCTGCTAGACGTGAGATGCATGGACGCGCGCTCACAGATCTCCGTACCTCGCTCTCCCCCTGCCAAGGCCGCCACCCTGGCAGCACCCTCTGTGCGGTGCTGCTGCCGCGGTGTCCTGTCCCTCCTCAGAGCAGAGTGCGTCCCACAGATGCCCTGTCCCCTACTGCCCGTCGCAGCCCTGTGGCGCAGGGCCCTCTTCTCAGCCAGGCTCACCTCTTGAACGCGTGGATGAGTTCTCAAGTTTTCTCCGATGAGGCTGTGGCAGCTGCTGCTTTTGCCTGAAGTGTGAGGCAAAAGTGTTTGCACCCCCTAACACCTCTGAGCCAGGAAGCCCAGACTGGGTGGAGCCAGTAAAGAAATTGTTTGCCTTTAAAGAGACAGAAACATTGTTCCATAATTTGGTGGATGCTTCAGTTTTGCCACATTGAAACCTTTTGCCCAGGTGCTGACATTTCCAAGGCAATATTTTTTGTTTGGGTGATAGTGACGGGTCCCAAACGGCCTTTATTAAATGACCCAAATATTGCCCAGAAAGCATTAGGCACAGTGCCTGCCTGGTCATCTTCCCTGGGTGGAGTCAGCCACTGAGGGGTGATTTGGGGAAGAAGGAAGACAGGTGTGTACCTTGCTGTGTGCAAGTATAGCGCCGGGGGGTACTTCTTAGTGATTGTAGAATATGGGTTTTTTATTATCGTCTTTCAGGAAGGTCTCAAGCTGCTTATTCAAGAATTAATGCGCTGAGGTTAAAGCCAAAAGAGTGTAAACCTTTAGAAACCAATAGAGAAAAAATGAAGGTGAGGACTGAAAAGTCTGCAGTGACCACATAGCTCCTCTAGTGTTTTCATACGGTTCTTCCTCACTTGATAATCTGCACAACCTGACGAGTAAAGATGCACCCAGGTAACAGACCCCCTACTCACCTTCTCAGCCTTCCCACCCACACCAATCCTCCTGCCCCAGGCTTAAGCAGAGATAGAGTTTCCTGGATTTACTGAGGGGATGCTCTGGAATTGCTTGAGGTGAGAGGCAGGCTCCCAAAGCTTTCATGGTTGACCAGATGCTCTAGTTGGCTTTTGCATCACCATAAGAACATAATGTTTCTGTTACACATGTGTGTGTGTGTGTGTGTGTGTGTGTGTGTGTGTGTGTGTGTGTGCATACAAAAAAACTCAGGGCTTTTTCTGCTGCTGTGATGTTAGACAAATGCAAAGCTTAACTTATTAAAACACTGCAGAAATACTGAAGGAGATGAAAGGAAGAGTTCCTCACGCTGCCCTGGCTCTTACACAAATGATCTGTGTTACTTTGGTCTATCAGTTTCCTGTTGCCGCCATAACAAATGACCAAAAATTTAGTGGGCTAAAACAACACATATTTTCCCTCTTATAGTTCCAGAAATCAGAAGTCTAAAATGAATCTTATGGGGATAAAATCAAGGTGCTAGCAGGGTTCCTTCTAGAGGCTGCAGAGGAGAATCAGCTGCCTGCCTCTGCCACCTCCTATGTGCTGCTGATAGTCTTTGGCCACCTCACACCAGTCTCTGCTGCCATATTCACAATGCCTTCTTCCTCCTGTGACCTTCTTGCCTTCCTCCCTTGTGACTTAGATCCTCCCAGATAATCCAGGATAGTCACCCCATCTTTAAATGTTTCATTTACTCACATCTGCAAAGATCCTTTTGCCATATAAGGTAACAGGCATAGGTTCTTTCCATTACCGAATCTATATTAGTTTTGTGGGCTGCTCTAAGAAATTACCACAAACTGGGTGGCTTAAAACAATAGAAATGAACTGTCTCACAGTTCTTGAGGTCAGAAGTCCAGAATCAAGCCGTCACCAGGGCCATGTGCTCTCTCTGAAGACTCTAAGGGAGGATCCTGCCCGGCCCTTTCCTGGTTTCTAGTGGTTGCTGGCAACCCTGGCATTCTTTGGCCTGTAGATGCATCACTCCCGTCTCTGCCTCTGTTGCCACATGGGTTTCTCCCTGTGTGTTCGTCCACATTTCACTCGTTTTATAAGGATAAGAGTCATTGGATTAGGGCTCGCTGTAAAAACCTCATCTTAACTTGATTATGTCGCAAAGACACTATATCCAAATACGGTCACATTCTGAAGTACTAGGGGTTAGGACTTGAACGTATCGTTTTTGAGGATGACACAGTTCAATCCATAACAGATGGTAAGAAAGGGACAGTATATGCAATTCGAGGGTGAAAAACCACAGATCTCTTCCTTTCCAGTCCCGGTTGCAGTTAGTAGGTTAAGCCCATGTAAGCAGCTTTCGTTCATCACCAGTGCTTGGAAGACTCCCACTGTGCAGGGCTCAGCGTGCGTATCACTCCACCTGGAACTCCGCAGCTGTTATAGTCTGCCTCAGCCTTTCCTTCCAGGCCAACCTGCCTCTACTCCACTCCTTGAGAAGCAACTAAAGACAATGTTTCAGTGGAGCTCTGCCTACCTGAAATCTTGGTCATAGCTCCTGTTGATACCTGTTTTACCCTGTGGCGAGGAATGAAGGAGATAATGAGATGAAGGCCAGTTTCTGGGACACAGTAGGCACCCAGTAAATGCTGGTAATGACCCTGTCTTAGTCTTTTCAGGTTGCTGCAACAAAATACTATAGACTGGGTGGCTTACAAAAAACAGAAATTTATTTCTCACAGTTCTGGAGGCTGAGAAGTCCAAGGTGAGGTGCCGGAAGATTTGGTGTCTGGGGAGGGCCTGTTTCCTAGTTCATAGCTGCCACCTTCTCACTGTGTCCTCATGTCACATGGTGGAAAGGGTGAAGGGTCTCTGTCGAGCCTCTTTCGTAAGGACACTAATCCCATTCATGAGGGCTCCACCTTATGACCTAATCACTTGCCAAAATCCCCAGCTCTTAACACCATCACGTTGGGGATTAGGTTTTAATATATGAATCAGGTGGGGGCAGGGGACGCAAACATTCATACCGTAGCGGAGCCCTCCATTCCAAGTTGGTCGCTGCTCTCTGCCCACATCCTGCGTTTCTACTGCCAATGCTTCACTCATGCTACTTCTGCCTCTCTTTCCTGTTTGAGATCAAAAAAGCAAAATCACGACCGTCATGCAAATATAAAATAAACACACATCAAAGATTTTACTTAACTCATTGATCAAGGAGAGAACCAGTAAGATATCATAATTGGTTCAAAGAGCATTTGAGAATTTGGGGTAGTTTGTAGGGAGATGGGATTCCTGGATTGAACACAAAACTGCTTAGTGCCCAAGACAGTCATAAAATGTAACTTCTGGGTGTATGTTCCACCAGACAGAAAATTATTTGCACATCTATAAGACAAAAATCTACAAGTTACCTCTCTGCCCTTAGAGAGTTGTAAAATATCTCAGATAATAAATAGTCAAGCCTAGCATCGCACAGAAAGAACAGCCAATAATCTCTCCCGTCTATTTCTACATTTTGGGTCATTTTAATGGCATTCTCTACCTTGTGATCCTACATAATCTTCAACAAGTATTCTGGATCCCTAAAACACTGATATTATGATATATGGCCTGATTATTTACATATAGGCAGTGAGAGTTTTAATCAACCAGATAGACCTCCCTGAGTTCACTCAGCAAATCTAGATTTGGTAGTTACTTAACAGATTTAAGTAACTACCAATGCCAAACAATTAACTTCTGTTTGCAAATTTCCAAAATGAATCTTGAATTAGACTGTCAAGTCTCTATCATTTGTTCTACTAACATAAGTGTAGGAACCCAAGACTAAGACACTTTTTCTAACATTGTACATACAGTTCCTATAAATCTAGGTGAATTTCCCTCTTCTTGAGGTCTCCAAAATTTTCGGAGGTTCCTGGCCTGCCAGGGAGTGGCAGGCCTGCACATGTCCTACTACCTGAGAGACTGGGACCCGAGAAGCCAAGTACCATGTTTTTTTCTTGGGAAGGTTTTGGGGGCCTTAGCTCCTATATAATCAACCATCGGTCTTTAGTAGTGGTCCTGTTGTATGTGATTGAATGAAAATCACTCTCAAATATCACACTCTAGGTATGGCCTTGGTGTGTAATTGATTTGTCCAATTGCATCTTCATAAAAAGGAGTGTAAGCTTTTATGGAACCTATGCAAATAGTTACATTGTCATAAAAAGTAAGGAGACTCAGTGGAAGTATTTGTTTTCGAATTCTGAGGGTGAGAGAAAAATCAGATAACATTAAAAAATTGTTACAGTTTACAAATGCACAGTCTACTAAATTGTGGATTAGATATAGTATAAAGAGAAAGAAATGGGATTTCCTCATATATGCATAAAAATAGAACACTAGAAATAATACTAAGAATATTCCAAACAACTAACAACAAGGACATTTCCTTTATCAATTCATTCAGTCCTATGTAATTAATTTTCGTTCTCTTGGGTCAGCAGTCTGATTTCAAGAGAGAGACATGCAACTCTTCCTTTCATATGAACACTTGGAGGCCATTGTCGGGTTATTAATTGGCCTAATTTCAATATTGTTGAGTCTAAGGAAATAGGGAGGCCCAAGGAGAGGGGGAGAGACGGGGAATGACCAGTTAGTGGAGCCGTCAGAACACACAACATTTATTAATAATAATTAAGTTCACCATCTTACCTGGGTGCAGTTCGTGGCACGGCAAAACAATGACAAGAGTAACATCAAAGATCACTGATCACAAATCATCATAACAGATACAATAATAACAAAAAAGTTTGAAATATTGTGCGAATTACCAAAAGGTGACACAGAGGCACAAAGTGAACACATGCTGTTGGGAAAATTGCACCAATAGACTCGCTCAATTCAGGGTTGCCACAAACCTTCAATTTGCTTAAAAAAAAAAAACCCACATTATTGGGCAGTGCAATAAGGTGAAGCACGAGTCGAGGTGCGCCTGTCCATTCTTCCTCGCTCCTCACCGCACATTTGGCGCAGAGGCTCCTCTCGGTGATGAGAGAGGCAGCTGTGGCTTTCCCAGAAGGTCATTTTAGACACCACTTGAGACTGTTGCTCTGGGCTTTTTCATTTCCCAGGTTCCTGTGACCCTACAGCTGCCTCCACCCCACTGCCCTTTGCTTTACTCTTTCCTTTTGCAGAAGTATTTAACTTCTGTCATCAATTTATACACACCAAACAAAAACAGAAAAAAAAATTGTTACCATTAAAGAAAGACAAAGGAAATTGAGGTGTGCAATTAAGACCCTCTGTGCTCTTATGGGGAGTAGGCAGACTGTCGAGATGGTATGAGCTGACTAGGTCACG